TGGTAATATTGATGATGAAGAAATTATATTAGTAATAAATTGATATTGTTGTTTGATAATTAAATGAATTATGTGGTAATGTTGATGATGAAGAAATCATATTAGTAATGAGTTGATATTGTTGATTGATAATTAATTAATGAAGAAATTATATTAGTGATGGATTGATATTACTAATTGATAATTAAATGAGTTATATAGTAATGTTGATGATGAATAAATTATTTTAGTGATGAGTTGATATTGTTGATTATTAATTAAATAAGTTATGCGGTAATGTATTAATAAAGTAATTAAATCAATATTGAGTTGTTATTGTGGGTTTGATAATTAAAGTGATTTTGTAGTGGTGTTTTTGACTAAATAATTAAATTGATGAAAAGTTGATTTTGTTGATATAGAATTAAATTGGTTATGTAGTGATATTATTGATGTAATAATTTAAATGATAACAAAATGAACTTGAAGGATTGGATGAGGTTACATGAACCACTCAGCAGACATGTTTAGCTAGCAGAACGCAAACATCAGGTAGGTGTTTAACACCTTGAATATTTTTATTTTTTTCTAAATTTTAGATATTTAAATTATCTGGATAATTTATTTTGTGAATGAAAGATTGATGGATAAATTATTCTAATAAAAAACTGGTGCTCTATAAATAAACGCTCGATTGATGAGTTATCTAGCATCCTATAATACGGATAATTTTAGATTTTAAATTATTGATTTGTAACAGGTACTTAGGTGGAGATGAGTAGTAAATAAAGAATTTTCTTTGTCAGTAACTAATATATATATAAATGCAAAATTCATCTCAATATCCCAGCATCCTAGTAGATTTAAAGTCTACTCCTATTACTAGTAGATCTTTTGATCATGTAAATTAATTACTACTACTAATAATAATATCATCTGCTAAATTTCCATCAGGAAACAAAATAGAGGAGGAGAAAATCACATGGTCCAGAAATACAAGGTATTAAAAATTCACATACATGTAATGAAAAATATTTCCACCACGAAAAAAAAAAAAACTTGAAGATAATGAACCACTAAAATAGAACTATTAGCATCTGTTTTTCTAATTAAATTCTACCTTATAATCAGCTACATTGCAACTGGTTTAGAAACTCCAAAAGCATCAAGGATGAGATTCCAGACCTTTGTAAGTTCTTGCTCGGCAAGAAGATGATAGTGGCACTCATTGATGCATAGTGCACACACCATAGAAATGAGGAAACTATATATAGAGAAAACCCACCAAAACGATTCCTAAAACTGCACAAAAATAATGAACTAAAAGTCAGAAATACCGAGAGTGAGCATAAAACTCTCATGAAAAAGGCAGTAGATCTTAAGATGTCACAATTGAGATGCAGTCTTGCAATCTTCCAACAATCAAAGATAGCAATAGCTCACACCATTATGTGATAAACCAAGCCAGGATCAATGCCTACATTTCACTGCTCGATCAGTTAGACTAAACCTGGCTTGGTAATATTCATATCAATAATCGACTTGGTGCCACCTCACCGATCATTAATTATCGTTAATGTTGCCTTTGAATTGGAGTTAATCTACAGGCAAGATGTTAAGGTTAGTGGCATAATCTGTTAGAGAATAATATAAATTATATTTTAAGATCTTATCTATCAGCTTAAATTTTTAGGTGAGATAGTTCTTTGACATAGTATCAGAGCTTTAATGACCAAACGGTCACGAGTTCAAATGTCACCATCCCCATTTATTTGATAAAAATTAAGCACAAGGTAATGTGGGCCTGTGCAAGTTTCAAGCCCAAAGAACTTTCACTTGAGGGGGTGTGTTAAAAAATAATATAAATCATATCTTAGGGCCTTACCTAATAATTTAAGCTTTTAGATAAGATGGTTCTTTGACATGGTCAATCGATAACATATCCACAATGTAAAGCTGGTTTTTACACAAAATGACATCTCACATCACAAAATAACATCTCACATCAAGCGCTAACATCAATGGAGCCTAACTGCAAATTAATCTCCCCCTTCCAAATTAGATTCTTTCGCTAACATCAATGGAGCCTAACTGCAAATTAATCTCCCCCTTCCAAATTAGATTCTTTCGCTAACATCAATGGAGCCTAACTGCAAATTAATCTCCCCCTTCCAAATTAGATTCTTTCGCTAACATCAATGGAGCCTAACTGCAAATTAATCTCCCCCTTCCAAATTAGATTCTTTCTTTTCCTAAAATCCCATCAACCACCTAAATGCATGCAGTGAAACAATATGATAACAGCACTTCAGATTGAAAAGAAAGGCATCCTAAAGTTTAAATGGGAAACTTCTTCAGAGAATCAGCAACTTTAGACATAGGAAAAGTGTTAAATTTAATTTAATTTAATTTGTGTTAACCACAATAATTTAACAAAAAGTGTTAAATTCTATATAAAATAACAGTTTTTTTATAATATAAAAGTACGATTTAGATTGAAAATATGGATAATGTGAAAATCTTTAAGTAAAGTTTTTAAAAATAAAATCGATTTAAAAAATTATCTAATTGCAAAATTAAGATTACATGGGTGGAGGATATTTTTGAAGTTTATCCTCATATTTTTATCGATGATTGTTCTCTCTAATCCGTCTATGTGTTCTGTTATTATTATTTAATTTAGAGAAAATGCCCATGACTTACGAGAAGATTCAAGCTTCTAATCCAAGTTAATGTAATTCAAGAAAAACATTGAAGACCCAAAAGGAGAATATGTGAGAGAGAGCATGGAGGTGGCCTGAGAGAATCCACGACAATGATACATTTGGCCGGCAGGGATGTGTAATTACTTGTCATGGTCGTCTCATGTTTTTGTTTTCTTAACGTTACACCTCGGAAAATTCATTTTTGGTACTGTTCTTCAACAAATTAGTTCATCACAAAAAGGGTATCATAACGAGCAGCCATTGAAAGAGCTAACTATGCAGTCGAGTACCACTTAAGATGGAGCATTACAAAAGATATCCTAAGTTTGGTCCCCAGATAGAAAACAGTTATTAATGGTGAGTTTCCCAAGTCTCAAGTACTGATGACTAAAATTAAGTCTCCTGTTAAGGGCAGGGTAGCTGACACCAGTGGCCAAAGACCGTTAGGTTTACACCTGCATTTCAAACAAAAGCTCCCGGGAAAGTCCATCTAACAGAGTGCAAACAACGACATTAATCTTTCGAGGACTCGGTGATAGAGATAGAGGGAGCTGCAGAAAGGAAGAAATTAAGGGATTCTTCATCCATGGGGTGTGGTGATGTTACTCCATCATCTTCGCCACCAACACCACCATCACCTCTTCCCATAAGTGTTGGACCGGGAAATCGAAAGTACAATTTCTCCTGCTCCTCCTCTCCTTCACCACCCTTTTCCCCTCCTCTTTCTAGCCACACATCTGCTGAAAACCTCCCTCTCTTGCCTCAAAGGTTGGCTAGTACTAAACGGGTGCCTTCAGCATTTTCATTGGAACGACCGGATCCTGATCCATTGGATTCTAAGAGCTCTTGCCTTGAAGACTTGTAAGCATTCCTCCCTTCATCTCATGTGATTGGTTTCTATCTTATATGTATTGAATGTTCACTTCAGTTTTTTCTGCCAGAAACTTCTCTTATTTTTCTTCTTTTTTACCCATTCTCACGTACTGGTATATCTTGCATGGACATTCAAAGAAATGAATCCTTTTCTGTTTCTTCATTCGTTTGGTATCATCTAATCTTAGAGATAAACGAGATTAAATTGTAATGTAAATTCATGTCGAATCTACCCAGCAAACCCCCCCCCCCCCACTAGCTTTGGTTGAGCTTGCTTGGACCTTCTTGAGTTTTGACTGGTAGGTTTTTTCCCTTTATACCTTCCGGTGAAATACGTACACCAACCAGTCAAAAGCAAGCAAATTTGAACTAATGACATTATGAAAGTTGAATCTGCCTCTTGGTGACTGACAGTAACAATGCAACGGTAATTCAACCATAGGCAATTATTTTTCATCACAAAATAGTCTAATAAGCAACTCATGATTTAAATTAATCTAGCTCATACTAACAATGGAAGAAATTAGGATAGAGGAAGATCGAGCCTGATGCTATCCCATCACAGGAAAAAAGAAAGAACCAATTTCTGATTATTTCATAGTTCAAGAAAGCAGGGGTGCTGTTCACTACTAATTTACTTCATTTTTCCTGTTCAATGCAGGCTAGAATGGTTTGTGCAGAGATGCTGTAGTTTTTGTTCCAAGTTTGTTTGAACCCATCATCTCATGCCTTACATATGCTGCAACCTCTACTTCTCCACCATTGTCCTGGAGAATTTGAGGCAATTATTTCTACTAACTGCATTCTGACTAGATTCGAAGTCTTGAAGAATCATTTTACAGGGGAAAACAGGTGCATCAATCAGATGTCACGATATTTTCTCACAGCTTTGATTCCAGCACCGAACCACAGTCTCCTTATCTTTTCTCAGCTTACATATTACAATGAACAAGAGAAGGGCCATGTCCTGTTAAGCTTAACTCTCATTTTCAGTCATCTGTAATGTAAGTACACGGTTGTGAGTTTCATTCAAACATGTAATCTTATCACAGCTCTCAAATCCCACGGGAGGAGTGGACCATAGTTTGAAACATGGTTAAATTTAGAGTGCGGCTGCTGGCCAGCGTACTGTGAGTATATAAGAGGGATGGTTTGGTTGTGCAATGAAATACAACCAACATCGGTGTAAATTAGTGAAGGACATTGCACAGATAGGCAGCCAATACAGCTCCTGACAGCCAAACTCAACTGGTATATAAACTCTTAAGATATGTGCCATACCACCCAACAAACCATAAAGGCACACACCGATTACCAGTGGGTATGCAAACTTCCAACATAGCAAATAATCATTGGCACATATCTTGTAAATTCCGAGCATTTGGTTGCGCATTACCAAACTCCCAACCTTGTCACAAACTTTCAACAGTGTATACCTTGTTACAGGATATTTTGTCAGGAAAAATAAACTGTGACTGCCATGCTTGACTGTAAGTTCTGAGCATTTGGTTGCATGTTACCAAACGCCTCTTGAGAACCAAGCTGCTGCTGCTGCTGTATGGGCATTACACCACCGGGATTGGATACTCCCGTATTATAGACTGCAAGCAAAGGCCACAACTGAACTTCAGCCTCGTATGTTAAGATTCTAGTAAACATACGACGAGCGCACTTGCTTTTTTGTTGTGTCAAAATGAACACCGTCGGTCACCGCCCTGCATGGATCCTATAAGAAAAGCAGAAGACAACCTCCCATTCTGGCAAGGGAGAAAAACAGGACATATCAGGAGGAGATGTCAGGCGAAAGAAAAGAAGGGGCAGGAAATAACTGCAAATTCATCCACCAAGTATGACTGAAAGGCGAAAAAAATAGAAGAGCAGGTTCATATTCTGATCATTCAGAACCGGAGAAGCAGATTCCTCTGAGGAAGCATGCTATCAGCAAATCCAATCTGTATAGTAGATTTAACAAGGGGAAGATAAATTGGAACAACATTAAACTTTCTATTTTAGTACAGAAAAGAATCAGCAATTGACGAGAGATTTTGGGTAAATTCTAGATCTCTGCATTGCAGATGAATCCAATATGCACTAATGAAATCAACAAGCCCTATCTTCCCTAAACACAGAATATAAATTTGCAAAGCACACAGGAGGCATACTTGCATTCGTGGCACAAGCGGCTGTGATGATATTGTGGAGGACATTTTCGGAATCTGAGGCAAACAAAACAGTACAAGGTTAAGACGGATCAAAAAAGGAAACAATCATTAAAAAAAAAAAGAAGTAAAAGTAAATAGAGAGAAAAGGAACATGGTACAAAAATCTGCACCGTGTAAGTAAACATCCATTATGAATTTATGTGCACAAGTAACATGCATGCAGCTTAAAAGAGATAAAACAGTTTAAAAGAGAAAGTTACGATCCAATTCCCGGATACATGACCAATAAATAAATAAAGTTTTTTTTTAAAGTTTTATATTTATACGAATCCAAACTTACGTACAAATTTATCTTTTAAATAACTCAATTAGAAATCAACGTAACAACAAAACTAACTTCATAATATAATTTGATTGTCTTAATATAAGAGTTAATACAAATTAATAGTTGTGGGGTACTAATTAGATATAAAAAAAATACAAATTTCAACAAAAAAGCAGGTCCTGAAGGTCTAATAAAATAACCCACTAACAAGCTATAAGTCTGAAAAGATAAATAATGAAAGGGTAAGTTCAACAACTCAGTGAATAGATAATATTCAATACACACACATGAAATAGTATAACAATAATGAATATATACACAATTATAACTCTAGGTTCTTATAGTAAGGTTTCTCAAATGGTCATGACAAGAATATCATAAGGTAAAGCTCATCAAAAAATCAAAATGCAATGAGCACAAGGCTCCGTATTGTGGGATAATCAGTTCACATAAATTGGTGACTCTCCTGACCAACTAGGGTTCAGATACGATGTGCACAAAGACTAATATTACCTTGTTAGCATGGATATTCTGACTAGCCTATCATAGGTTTATAATCATAATCAAACATATGTATTCATATCTTAAAACTCAACTCATGACATCAATCAAATGAGAAGCTATCAATTCAGAAATCAATTGAAAATATATATTGATTCATATTAAGAATTCAGATTCAACAATTAATCATATTTTATTGTAACAAAAGGATAATAATCAACATATATATTATCAAGAAGCATGATCCAATTCATATTAACAACTCAAATATTTATAATATTTCTCATGCATATAAAAAATTATCCACTCACCTGAATCGAAAGCAAACAGAACTCAAAAGTAGATATCGAAGAAAATCCTACTAGTGTTACGCCGATAGAATATCAGGATTATCTGAATAAAAATGAGATATATTAAAAAAAAACTAAAAAAAACATACAATCTATTTAATACACTTAACTAAGCGTCTGTTCCATAACCCTATAGGTTTTTGAATTAAACTAGTTATTGTTTCCAAAAGACCTAAAATTAAATGGTTTTTTTGAAATCTAATCCATAATAAAACAAATAATAAGACTTGATAATAATTCACTAAATAACCCTTATTTATTCATCAAACCAATTTGCAAAAATTAATATTACAGCAAGGGAACAATCTAAAATTTATCATATTTTTAAGGGTAAATTTGTAATTTTTGTTAAATGGGAGGACCAAATTAAAAGTGTTAAAAATTCATAACTATACTAGAATCCTACCCTAATTCATCTTTTATTCTGTCCAGAATCTTGGAATATGCTCCAGGGACCAATCTGAAATTTTTCCAAAGTTCGGGGACTAAACTGTAATTTTCACAAATTGAGGGACCACATTGAAATTTTATCATCTTCAACCTCAAATCCAGAATTTTCATGAATTATCTATTCTTATCTCATGATTTCAAATATAAATTCACCATTCAAACAAAATCATAACTCAAAATCATCGTATTTACCTACAATCTTTCAAAATGAAGTAAGTAGCTCATTACCCACAATAATCAATCCAAAACACAATCTTCAAAACCCGAACATTCAGCATCACAGAAATTTAAAGCTTAAAGAACACACATTATACATAATCTTGCTTTTAAATTTATTTTCTCTGACTCTCTTCTTCTCCTTTTATCTTTCCTTCTTCTCTTTTTTTTCTTTCTCTTTTCTTCTCTTTTCTCGTCACTTTTTTTTAACTCTTAGAAGACAACTCATTTTTTTTATATATATATTTATCAATTCTTTGTTCAATTACTACAATACCTTTTATTTATTTATATCTATTTTTGAGCCTTTAAGGACTTTATTATCTTTTTTTATTTATGTTATTTCAAAACATCACAAATAAAGGGTAGTGACATCTATAAATATTCAAGCAAGACAGATTTGAAGGTGGCCTCAAGCTTTTTTTCGAAAAAAGAAAAGAAATTGAGGTCTAACAGCATGCTCTCTGACAATAAATTATCCTCCCAAACTTCGATAAAACCCTCTTGCTCGTACTCAAAGAAGTGATGTGAAAATATAGGAGAAAGCTTAAAGATGAAATTTCATGGGTCTATATTCCTCTAGCAGCATATTAGAATTCCTGGTCACGAGACAGAACTGCACAAGTGATGCCCATGAGCACACAATAAATGAATTAGATTTAAGAATATAATACGAATGAATTCAGAGTGAGACAGACAAAGCCGAACTTAAGATATTGGTAGAGTAAGAGGCCTTTTGCCCTGAAATAATGCACTGTGTATTCAGAGTGGGCAGGGGGGTGTTTGTCGCTTAACCTTTTCCTCTGATCAAATAAACGTTCTTGTTAAGTTACCCCATGCTTAGTAGGTAAAATGCAAACAAAATGCCAAAAATAAAAGTTCAAGACAAAAAGCATGAAAGACACAGAAATGCATGGACGTAGGTTGCAAGGAGAAAGACCAAAATGAAGAAAAACAAATAGGGGGCCAAATTACTAATGATAACAAGAAGCTAATACTAGATTACCGGCCGAAACTTCTGCTGAGCCTGGCGCTGTAAATCATGCATTTGTGACTGTTGATTCTGCACGAGAAGTTCAAAATATTAAGATTAAGCAGTAAGACTCATCGATATGTAGATATAATTATCGAAAAAAAGCTGTGCATCTAAAACCTGGCCCTGTAAATCATGCATTTGTCACCAACGTGCACAGCAGCTCGGAACAAGGTCTCTTGCTCTTGAATCTTAGCAGCCTGAGCCTTGTCCAAAGTGGGAAGAGTCGTTGGCCCTTGACGGGTACCCAACTGTTAGGCTTCACGAGTATCAATTCTAGCCTGCAAAACTAGATAGATAAAAGTCCCTGAATACAAAGAAGCGATGATGATATACTCGATGCAAAATGAACTCTAATCCACCTTTAACCTCTCAATTTGAGAGAATATCGGCAAGTTCTGCATCCCCTGCAGCAACTGCTCGCTCTTGGAATTATAATCCACTTCCATCTCTGGCAGTAGTTTCGAGGATAACATAACTGGTAGCACTGTACCACGGGATCCAAAATAATGTTTTCCATGTTAAAATTATGCAATATATGCCAAATTTTGATCCTTTTGAACAAAGCTGTCTAGAAGTTTAGCAGGAAATGGAGAATAGAAGAAATGCGGCGGTAGTGAGTGACGGTTCCTCCTGCATACCATGTCCTCGTACACATGAAATTGACCACATATTTGTGTCATCAGAGAAAATCTAGGAGTGGAAAGCTAGTCCCCCGACATGGAGTACCTTTTCTGATCACAATTACCCTGGTGCACTCCCAGGAGATCAGCATCCATTATATCATGAGGTTGGATGCGAGAACTTCTAATTGCTTTAATTTCTTAAGGTTCTTTACTCGTCCAAATTATTAATATGTATGTTCGAAGCAAGTAAATATATGGATATCTCAACGAAAAAAGACGGAAAGAAAACAAAAATTTCACAGGCATGAAAGCATTTTAGCCGAATGTTATGGAGTTCCGTTTGAGGTTTTCCTGCTGCTACAGATTCAATCATTACCCCCACAAATGTACTTGGTTGCAAAAGCATATTGTTGTGTTTAAGTTTTGTAAGATTGCGGTTTGCAAGGAAACAATGCATGGTATATTCCATAGACGTGTTTTGCATCTGCAAGAAGAGAATCGATCTGTTTCCGGTTTCAAAAGTAATCTTCATTCCAGCAAAGGATAACAATCCCCAAACAACTTCTAAGAGTTTCAAATAACTACTCTCTCTTGATTTCCTTACAAATAAGGGAACAAATGTTTTGTTCATTCCCTACATCCTGCACATTGTTTAGTGGATTTTGTAGCCAGAAAAGATATCGTCACCGTCATGACAGAAGTTGTCAGCAATATTTCTCCCCCTCCTGGTATTCCCCCCTATCCTTCCTTTTTTTCTCTCATCGACTAACATCGTGTTCTGTGACCTAACTTTTTCTCTGCTGATGCCGAGATTACTGTCTGTGAGCTTGCCCTTTCTTCCGTACCAAGCTCTCCCTCTAACACTCGGCGTGCTTGTATAATGAGCAGATTTTCTCCAGTAACAAAACCAAAGAGTGATCAAACTTGTATGTGCTGATATCATTTCATTTTGCAGGATCTGTAGCAACCGTATCAGATGCACCGCCCATCCATTACATGGTTAAAATAGAGTTATTTTCGTCACTGGGGAAAAATGCAGTGGAGACATATGAATCAGGGGTTTTTGAAGCTGGAGGCTATAAATGGTACGTCTTATTGCTAGTGAATATGTGTCTTTCTTTGTCTTTCCATCTCCAACCGCAGTCATGTTTTATTATGAGAGACCCCTCTCATTTTTATTACCTCCTCCTGTGTTTGCTTTGCAAGGAAATTAGTTCTTTATCCGAACGGAAACAAGAGCAATAATGTAAATGATTACATCTCTCTCTATTTAGCAATGGTTGACGCGAGTTCTCTTCCACGTGGTTGGGAGGTCAACGTGATTTTCCGGTTGTTTTTGCTTGACCAAACCAAGGACAGCTACTTGGTAATTCAAGGCATGTTTTCTAAATCATTACTCTGCAATACATCCTCAAGCTATTGTCATTAGCTACAGTTTTTGTTTTAGAGTTTATATTATCACCAAAGTTATGCGTTGTAAATTGGGTGACGGGCAAGATTTACTTGAAGTAGTTTTCTTCAATCACTCTGGGTAATTTAGTTTAACTCAAGAGAAAGTGATGCCCCTCTCTGATGTTCTGGCCTTGTTGCCAAGGTTAGATGCAGCAGGAAAGGAAAGACGCTTTCATGGATTGAAGCTTGAATGTGGTTTTGATCAATTCATTAAGCTTTCAACATTTAATGATGCTCGTTATGGATTCGTTCTGGAAGACACTTGTGTGCTTGGAGCTGAAGTATTTGTCTGTGGAGAAAGAAGCAGAGGCAAAGGAGAGGTCTTATCAATGAAAAAGGATCCTACTGCTTCCGAGTACGCTTGGAAGATCGTGAACTTTTCGGAGTTGGATGAAAAACGCCAAGAATCACAAATATTCAGCACGGGAGATCATCAATGGTATACTTATTTTATTATTTTAATCTGCAATCTTAATTAAAACATGTTTCGGATGTGCTTTAGGAAGCCGATGTTTCTCTTACATTACGTTATACTCCATGTGCTAGCTTGCCCAAACAATTCGTTAGCTGTTAGTGATTCCTTTCTTTTCGAGATGAACACGAGCATAGAAAAATCACCTTCTCATATATTCTTTTCTTCTGTTATCAGTAGTATTTAGTAGTAGCACTTTTCCTTTTTCTTCTACATGTACCGGTTGTTTCAGGAAGATGGTGCTCTATCCTAAGGGAAAAGGTCTTGGAATGGGCACCCATCTCTCTCTGTACTTGGCTCTGGATTTGGCAACCCTCCCTGCTGGTTGCAGAGTATATGCGGATTACACCTTGCGCCTTGTGGATCAAGTCTATAGCAGAAATTACAACTACTATCGTAAAGGTAAGAACACAGATGATCTTTTTGCCGGTTTAACATGTCAATGAGATAGGAAAAAAAGAAAAAGTTGAGATTGTTCCATCTTCCTGCAGGCAGAAGCTGGTTTGGTGCCTCAAGCTCAGAAAGTGGATGGTCAAGCTATATTTCCTTGAGTTTTCATCAGTCTTACACTTACTTGGTTGTCAAGGACATTTGCATAATTGAAGCAGAGGTCATGGTACTTGG